GGTCACGTGGGTGTCATCTGCAAGTGTGGGTGTTCTTGTGCACATGCCCTTTCTTCCCATCAGCCGGCAGCTCCATTCTCCACTTGAGTCCTCTGTGGCCACATCACTGACTCTGGGCCCAGGAGTCCTCGGGTCTCCTTGCACTGCTTGCCAACCAGGTCCCCAACCTGGTCCACAGAAGCCCTCTGAATATTGTGAGGCTTAGCTCGCCACTTCATTGCTGCCTTTACCCCATTTCTCCCCAACGGTGATGTGTGTGTTTACAAATCCGAGTGTGCATTTCCACCGAGTCTCAGTTGGGGTCCTACGTTGGTGGCAGGTGTTATGCAAATTCTTGAGAATGTATTTATTATTATACTATAATAATTGTATTCGAGTCTAAACATAAGCATGTTTATATGCATTTTTAGCATTTCTACATGTAAGATCTATTCAAGACTAATCTTGCAATGCCTGATTTTCAAAAAAATCTAATCTAGAAGTCTGCTAAAATTTCTTAAATATTCCTCTCATTCTTTGAATATTTGTTTTCCTCCTCAGATGTCCGACTCCTACTTAATAATGACAATCTTCTCAGGGAAGGGGCAGCACAGTAAGTACCTGTCTAAATGAACTTACATTTTAGTTTAATGTGCAACAAGTGAGCTATGTTGACAGGAAACTAGTACCTTGAGAACTAGGTTTAAAATATTTTAAAGTGAAATCATTGTTTTTCGTAATATAATGTAGTTGCTTTTTTCTTGGCGAAAATATATTGCCCCCAAAATGTTACTTACTTATTCAAAGTTTATTAATATATCTGTTCTTGTTTAATTTTATTTCTTCCCAAATATTCTCTATTTGTGTGAGAAGAGATTAATGTTAGTTGATATATTGTCTTTTATAGTTTTCTTAGTTCGTGTTGAATTTTTAAAAAAAAAATTTAGTTTTACAGGCTGCTCTTGAGGAATAATGTTTCTCAAATTGGAAAAGACTGGCAACTTCATGATGTATCTTAGTAGTTGAATTAACCATAGTATAAAAGCATTATTCTATCCAATTATCTACTGTTTTTCACTGTCAGGCTAATTAATCTTTATATAGTATCATTTGTATTTTGTTCTTGCCATCAAAAACATTATGATTCTTCTTCCCCCACCCCCACCCCTAAATCCTCTGTTATTTGGCTTTCTTCCTATTACCCACCCAAGTATATATTTTTTCTACTCTTCAACACAAGTTTTTAGTTATTGTCTAGTTGCTTTGTAAAGTGGAAATTAGAATTGGATAATGGTTGGGAAGAGGAAGAGCTGGGAAAAGTACAAGAAACAAGGGCATCTTGATACAAAGCAACAAAAATCATAAAGGCATTTTGTATGACATATAGTTAATCTATATCAATTTTAGCTATTGTTGTTGTTAAGCACCAAATCATCGTAAACTTGTTTAGGGTTTCCAAAGCTTTAAATCTTCACTGGACCAGAAAGTCTTGTCTTTCTCCTCTGAGACGCTTGCGGGTGCCAATTCTGGACTTTGTGGGTAGCTATAGATAACTGTTCAAAGAGATGATGCTAGAGAAACATTCATCCTTTGCTTTGCTGCTTTTCAGTTTTTGGAACTCATTCTGAGATTCGATTCTACAAACCTAAAACTTGATTGGTGGTGGTGGTTATGTGCCGTGGAGTCGGTTCCGACTCATAGCGACCCTGTACAGGGTTTCCAAGGCTGTAAATCTTTACGGGAGCAGAATGCCTCATCTTTCTCCCATCAAACGGCTGGTAGTTTCGAACTGCTGACCTTGTGGTTTGCAGTCCGATTCAGAACTCCTTAAAACTTGATTTAGAATCACTATAATTGTCATCAGGAATAATTATGCCAGGGACTTTAAAATGTTTGTGGAGAAATTCCTTGTATTTTCATTCCATTTGTCCAGGAACTTTTTGAAGTCCCTTTTTAGCTCCACCTTAATCCTGAGTCCCCACCTTCATTGTATCTCATAAGCAACTCACTTCAAAATACGTCCATAATCACAGGCATAGAGGCTAGGATTTACAGTATATCATAGAATGGGATAATATGACTAGAAGGCCATAATAAAGAATTGACTGCCCTGTAATTAGCTAATGTGAATCCTTCTGGTAATAGGGAATTCACTTCTCACAAGGCACATTCTTCAGTTTGTGTACTATATCTGTCCTAATTTTATCCTTGGAAGCTGTCCAAAGTTCATCTCTTCAGTACTTTGCTTGATAAGGTTCCACTAGAGAAGAGGAAAATGTTAAGACCCAAGGGTGACTGCAATGTAGGCCTGTGGCCATTGCCCTATTTCCAATTAAAAGTGACTATAATTTGCTATATTGACTATGCAGAGACATTCAACTGTATGGACCATAACAAACTATGACAATATTGTAAAGAATGGGAATTCTATAACATTTAATTGTGTTTGTGAGGAACCTGTACGTAGACTGAAAGGCAGTAGTTAGAACAGAACAAAGGGATACTGAATGGCTTAAAACTAGAAAAAGTGATGTATTCTTTCACCATACTTATTCAATCTGTATACTGAGCAAATAGTCTGAGAAACTGGATTGTATGGCATAGGATTGGAGTAAGACTCTGTAAAAGCCTTCAGTATGCTGGTGATCTAACCTTGCTTGGGAAAGTGAAGTGGATTGGAATACTCACTGTTGAAAATCAAAGATCAGAATCAGGACGCCTTCCACCATCCTAGCATTGTTTTCATCACTTGTCTTCCCTTGCTCACCTCTTGAAATGGACCTGAACTGCTCCTGTGCCACGGGTGGCTCCTGTGTCTGCCCTTGCTACTGCAAGTCAAAGAGTGCAAATGCACCTCCTGCAAGAAGAGCTGTTGCTCCTGCTGCCCCGTGGGCTGTAGGCTGTAGGCTGTATCTACAGAGGGGCATCAGACGAGTGCAACTATTGCATCTGATATGGGACAGCCCTAACCAAGTTAGATAGAGCCACCTGTTCTCATACAACCCGGACCTGAATGCTAACTCCCTTTTTAAATGAATTATATGAATGACAATGAATGATTTTGGCTTTTAAAAAATAAAATAAAATAAAAATCAGTATGGCTTACCTTATGTAAAGAAAACAAAATTCCTCACAACTTACCAATAAATTTAACATCATGATCAATGGAGGAAAGGCTACAGTTGTCAAAGACTTTATTTTGCTTGGATCCCCAGTCAGTGCTCAAAGAAGCAACCATCCAAAAAGTCAAAGGATTATTATATTAGTCAGATATCCTGCAAATGACCTCTTTAAAGTGTGAAAAGCAAAGATGTCACTTCAAGGACTAAAGTGTGCCTGATCCAAGCTCTGGTGATTTTCAGTAACCTCTTATCGGTGTAAAAGTTGGACAGTGAATAAGGAAGACTATAGAAGAATCAATGCATTTGAATTGTGGTGTTAGTGAAGAATATTCAAAGTACCTTGGGCAGTTATAAGAACAAACAAATGTGTGTTGGAAGAAGTACAGATAGACTGTTCTTTAAAAGCAAGAATATATTGTCACAAAGGACCAGTCTCTAGAGATGGATCAAGCTTTATAGAATGGAGGGTCAGCAAAAAAGAGGAAGACACCCAACAAAATGGATTGACCATGGCAGCACTAGTGCTCTCAAACATGACAACAATTGTGAAGATGGCACAGGACTGGGCAGTGCTTCGTTCTTCTGTGCATAGGGTCACTGTGAGACGAAACCATCTCAATGGAACATGACAATAACATAAGTAAGCAAGGAGCCCTGGTGGTGCCTTGGATAACTGGTTGACTACTAACCAAAAGTTCAAACCCTCCAGTTGCTCCTCAGGATAAACATGTGGCAGTATGCTTCCATGAAGATTTCAGCCTTGGAAACCCTATGAACAGTTTCCAAGTTTTTCTCTGTTCTTTCTGAGTTGTTGGCATTGGGGGCTTTGTTTTGTTTATAAGTTACCATGTAGTACAGATGTTTCAGTTGCTTTAATGATACTGACAGCACTTTGTATTTATAAATTCTGGTTGTGATATAGATTTTGGGTTCTTTGAGAACCTTCTTTTGGTGGGTTTGTGTTATGGAGTCAATTCTGACTCATAGCAACCCTGTATAAGGCTTCCAGGTCTGTAAATATTTGTGGGAACAGAAAGACTCATCTTTCTTCCACTAACTGGCTGGTAGTTTCGAACTTCTGACCTTGAGGTTAGCAGCCAGACTCATAACCATATTATTCAATGCCATGGAGTCAATTTTGACTCATAGCAACCCTGGATAGGTTTCTGAGACTGTAAATCTTTATGGGAAGCAGACAGCCAAATCTTTCCCCTGCATATTGACTGGTGGAGTAGAAATATCAACCTTGCGGTTACCACTCTAGTACTCCTATGGAATATTATTATCTCACCCCAAATATTTGATTTCCATAGATATGAAGAGACATTCTTTTCTGAACTGCTAGGTCAGCAGTTCAAGCTCACCAGCTGCTCCTTGGAAAGCCTATACAGGTTCAATATGAGTCAGAACCAACTCAACGGCATTTAACAACAATAACATCCTGGTATGGCACCATAGGATAAGCACTCGACTTCAAGGTCGGTGGTTCAGACTCAGTAGCCATTACTCAGAAAATGCTATATTGGAGTGCTACGAATCAGAACTGGCTCGACAGTACTTAACAAAGTACCAGGTAGTTACCCTTTTCTTTGGATTTCCAAGTCTACTTCTGACCAACAGACCCATTCCCTGATAATTCTCTGCCTTTCTGGAAATAGAATGTTTTAGGCCATATAAAACTGGATTCTTTGGGAATGTTTTGAAAAGAAAGTGGCATGATGAGACTTGGATTTTAGAAGAATCATTTTTGAAATATTTGTTATTTTGGTTTCTCATAGTTGCTCTTAAGTGAGGAAGGCTTTAAGAGTGAGGTGAGTACTTAGGACACTATTATAGTTATTCAGGTCTAGGTGATGATGATTTGGACCAGAGTGGTAGCAGAAGAGGTGGAAAAAATAAGGAATCAGATTTGGAATATTCATCCAAGGTAGAGCTTACAAGATTTACTGATGGATTGGATGAGAGGAAGAGAACAGTCAAGGATCCACCCCAGTTTGGGACTTAAGCAACTGGCAGAATGGAGATACCATTTACTTGAAATGAGGATAAATGTGAACAACTTTTGATGCTGGTGTTTATAATCTATAGTCTTAGGACATATCCTATAATGGAATGCTGGTATACTCCCTATTTATAGCTTTTGTTTAAAAATTATTTAATCCACTTTCTATGAACATTTAGTTTACATTCCTTTTTAAAAAGCCAGGGTGTTTGGAACTCATTTTGCTGCATGGGGATGTGGTGCTTTAAGGAGTAAGTCATTTAAAAAATAATTATTTTTAACAAAGTGAGATAATTGAAGATTAGTCTTAAATATTTGAAGAAATATTTGTTACTCTGGTTTCTCTTGAAAAGCTGGGGAAAGTCTAACGCTCTGTTGAAAACCAGTGGTCAGTTATTGCAAAAATATGAAGCGCTAACCATTCCTCCCACAGTCAATTGGTTCCAACCCATAGTGGCCCTGTACAGGGTTATCGAGGCTGTAAATCTTTGTTGTTACTGTTCTTTGCCGTGGAGTTGGTTCCGACTCATAGCGACCCTGTATGGGGTTTCTGAGGCTATAAATCTTTACGGGAGCAGAAAGCTTCATCTTTTTCCCTCGGAACAGCTGGTAGTTTCAAACTGCACAGCCCGATTCATAACCACTACGCTATCAGCTCCTCTACTCAACTAGGTTTGAAAATTTATTGCAATGGCCACACAGAACTTAGACACCATTCTCATAGTTATTTTTTTTATTAGGGAAGTTAACAGGTTACAATTCGGGGTCAGAAAACCTCAGGGCACAGTTGTTCCAGTGATCTGCTGATAAATGCCCACAGGACACGCCACTCCACTCTGCTTAGCTATGTGGGTCAGCAAGACCTAGCTCCCTGACTTAAGCACCTGAAGATACCCCACTCTGTAAGCTAGCTACCTGCCCAAAGTCACTCGGTTTACTTTCTCCATGGGGTGGGAAGCCCAGTGCTCTGTCTGATTCTTGATTCTGCTACTGCTGATCCTCTGCCACTCCTTTGGTGTCATAGCTTTCAGTCCCTGGGCTGAAGAGGTTCACGGTGCAGGGATCTCGGGGTCCAAAGAATGTGCTCCACTTCTGGCTCTCTTCTCCTTTGATGGTAATGAGATTCCCCCTCCTGCTTCTGAGATGGCTCGTTTTAAAGCCATGCTAGAGTTTTATCCTTTTACCATTAACTCTGCTAATATTCACAGCTGAATACTGTCCTCCTAAATTCTTGTCCTACATTCTCTTAATCAGACCCAGCAGGGCAGAAACATTGTTTGGTAAGTTACAGGCTGTGGCTAGAAGAGCTGTTACATAATTCACTAAACTACACTTATGTAATACAAGTAGTCGTGGTAGCACAGTCGTTAAGTGCTTAGCTGCTAACCCAAAGGTTGGCAGTTCAAACTTAGGTGAAAGATGTGACAGTCTTCTTCCATAAAGTAATTTACAGTCTTGGAAATTCTGTAAGTGCCACTGCACTTAACAACAACATATCTGGGTTGAGTTCTGGTTGATATTGTTATGTATATTAGTCTCAGGTTCTTATCTGCTGTTGATTCTCTCTCCATTTAAAGAATTCCTTTTAGTATTTACTATAAGGTTGGTCTGGTTTTTGCAAATTATTTTAGTTTCTGTTTATCTGGAAAGCCCTAATTTCACCACCATATTTAATGGACAGTTTTGCTCACTATATGATTCTTGGTTGGCAATTTTTAAATTTCGTAGTTTTATATATGCCTTCTTGCCTGCGTGGTTTCTGCTGAGAAATTACTGCTTAGTCTTATTAAGTTCTCCTATATAGGTAACTTATAGTTTTTCTCTGAGCTGTTCTCATGACATTTCCCTTGTCTTTGGGTTTGAAAATGTCTTAGTGATTTCTTTGGGGTCTATCCTGTTTAGAGTTCATTCAACTTCGTGATGTTAGGAAAGCTTTCTTTAAGCAATTTTTGACAGTTTCTCTATCTTTTTATTTGTCTCTTCTGATTTAGTCACACCCAAGTTACTCCTCTTGATATAGTGTCCCACATAAGTCTTAGGTTTTCTTCGGATTTTTTATTCTTTTTTCTCATTGTTCCTCTCAAAGTTTTGTTCAGGCTCACTGATTTGGCCTTCCGTTGATTGAATTCTACTTCTTTGCCCTTTCAGTGTATTGTTGATTTCTGAAGTCTTACAGCTTTCTAATTTCTATTTTTGTATGGTTTCCAAGTTTCCATTTCTTTTTTCAGTTTGTTGTTGTATTATTTTCCTGAATTCTTCCTTGCTTTCATTGATTTTTCTCTCAATTTGTTGATGGTACCTAAATAGCGTTCTCTTAAATGCCTTGCCAAGTAGTTCTGATTCAATTTCTAGTGTTATATTTTCTGGCTCTGTATTTTGGTGACTTGTTAAGGTGTTCTGTCTGGTTTCTTTGTGTGTGCTGAAATTGTGTGTTTTCTCTGAGACATTGTGCTGTCTTTGTAGTTATATTTAGTTGATGACTGTATATTGGTGTTTTGTCAGGGATTCACCACCTGTCTCTTGGTGACTTGGTAGTCTGAACACAGTTCTCAGTTCACTATTTTGATAGTGTAGTTCAGGGTGGGTTCATGCACTTCTGGAAGAACCCCACACAGAGACTATGTATGAAGGGATGCCACTGGCCACTGTGTTGGCAATTGAAGGACTGGCCTTGCTCCGGCTACCAGTAGGGCATGAAAACAAGGAAGGACTACACCCCCCTGTCTCTTTCCTGCAAACTGGCCCTGTGCCAGTAGACGACTGTATCAGCAGCTGCTTACAAAAGCTCAAGGTGGCCACCTTGCTCCATACCAGCTGATATTATTGTAAGTGCCATGGACTAGCCCACTTGTTTTTCTATTCTCTTGCTGATCCTGTTGCTCCTGTTCAGCTTCCTCTTTCCATCAGCACTCATACCACCTCTCTGCCCTGTCTTCTGAAGCTTAGTGGTTCAGGCCCACCATCTATCTATTTCGCTTGTTGTCATATGTCTTTGTTGCAGAGGGTCTGCTCAGTACATCTGCCTACTCTACCATTTTGCCCCACTCCCATTATTACTGTTTTTGTTTTGTTATTGCATTTTACTATGTATCTACACAAATGAGGAAATAAAAATACCATATATTTATATTAGCGTAGTGGTTACAAATCAGGCTGCTAATCTCACGGTCAGCAGTTCGAAACTACCAATTGTTCCACAAGAGAAAGATGAGGTTTTCTGCTCCCGTAAAGATTTGTAACCTCAGAAACCCTATACAGGGTCGCTATGAGTCAGATCCGACTCCATAGCACATAACAACAACACCCTCTAAAAAAATGATCTAGCTGGAATTTAATAGGTTAAAATTGGGCTGGAAGATGTTTAACTTTTTGTTTGGCAAGTGAATTCCGTTGGGAAACTGTAACATTTCTAAGAATATGAATGTATTTTGCTTTCTTAACATTGTAAACTTACTTTGTAACCTGAACTAGAGAGCCATTGAAAATGTAGACTTTCATAAATCAGGCACTGGTTATGAAAGTTTATAAATGTACATTCAATTAGGCATGTACTTTGATTATACATTCATACTCTCCTCCCTTTTGTGATCTCTACTTTGTGCCTTAAAGTGTACTCTGATAACAAACTCATGCTCAAGTCTTCCCTTATCCTCTCCCCATGTTAAATGCTTTCCAGTATATTTAATTATTGTATCTTCTGCCTTGGCTTACCTCATAGAAACCAAGGTAAAGAAGATATTTACAAAATATATATATTTTTAATTTGAAGGGTTTTTTTATAGTTACTAAAAGCTTTTGCATAAATGATTAAAACTGTTGATACCTCACAATAATTTGGTTGCTTAGAACTTAGAAATTGTATAAATGAAAGCTCTATTGGAGCTTAAAAGTGGAAAGGAAGAGGTAATTTCAAGGCTTGGGGTACCTCTGAGAACTCTGTGAAGAAGTCTCTTCAGAAAACTGAAAGGCTTTGGGGTCCTAGATGTCAGGGAAGGAGGAGTAGAAGCACCAGGTAATGTTTTCAAAGATTCTTTTTCTGGTCTATGAGCTACCTTTATTTATTTATTTATTTTTCCCCACTCCCCTCTATGAGCTACCTTTTGTGGTTTTATATATAATTCTTTCTTCTCTCTCTCTCATCACCTTTCTGTTTTGTTTTTAAAAACAGTGCATTTGCCCAATATAACATGGATCAGTTCACACCTGTGAAGATAGAAGGATATGAAGATCAGGTAATAATTGTTTCTGAAGAACAGATGCTGAATATATAATTTTTCATTTTAAAGTAGAACTCTCCTTTGAACTAACAAGTCTGTAGAATTCATCCCAGGAAGATACTATATAAATGTTAAAAATATTATCCAAAGAAAAGTTACAAAATTCACAGTTTAAACTCACCAGCAGCTACTTGGAAACCCTGTGCCTCACAGGGTTGTTGTTTGTCAGGAATGACTCGACTGCACTTAACAACAACAAAATAGATCAAAATACCCTGCACGCATTGAAAACTGGTAAGTTGTTAGTTCTAACCCATAGAGACCTTGTATAGGGTTTCCAGGGAGCAGCTGGTGGATTTGAACCATTGTGATTGAGTGCTTAACCTAAAGCACCATACCAGGATTCCAGGTATTTGTTGATCTGAATAGATGTTCATGATATCTTAAGCAAGAACATTGTAAAGCAACCTAGTGTTATTCCAATTTTATTCTTTACGTGTTTAGATAAACAGATACAAATTATTAGATAAATTCATCTTAAATTCTATGAAAAGTGAGTTGTTATTTTATGTACTAAGAAAGAAAAGGAGGCCTGATGTGGCATTATGGGATAAAGCACTAGAGTGCAAGGTTGGTTTGAACCACAAGATTGGCGGTTCGAACTCAGTAGTCGCTCCTTGGAAACCTTGTGCAGGGTTGCTGTGACTTTGAATCACCTCGATGACAGCACTTAACAGCAACAACAAGAACGAAAAACGCCAATTAAGCTGTGACACAGTCCTCAGATGTCAGCAAATTTAGGATGCATTCCAGTTTTTGAAATGTTAAATCATGTGAACAAACAAGCATCTTCAGAATTGAATAACTGTATAGATGTGCATAGAAAATATGTCTGGGAAAATATACACCAAATTATATATTTGTTAGAAGTACAGGGTTACGGGGATTTTGTTGTTTTTTCTTTGTATTGGTTAATAGTTTTGCCTATCTAAATTTTCTCAGTGAAGATAGGTTAACTACAAACATAAAAGGCAAAAAATCTGAAAAATATGTGGTAAATTTTGCTAATAGCTAATATTGTAATGCTTTAATAATATACTGGAATTATTGAAAATATAAGGCCTGTGTCCAGGTGCATTATATAAAAATCGGCCAACTTTTGTGAACATTCCCAGTGTACTAGTAATATCTAGCCTAACCACGTAAACTGCCCCACCCCCACCAGTGACATTACCTGTATGGTACATAAGAAGATTATGAGTTATTAAAGTGATACCTTCACTTCATTTAACAACAATTTACAGTAGATTAATTAAATAGAGATTTTATTTTCCCTACATAAGGAGTATTATTCACTGCCATTGAGTTGATTCAGACTCATAGAAACCTAGTATAGGACCTTTGAAATTGTAAATCCTTATGGGAACATACAACCTCATTTTTCTCCTGGGGAGCAGCTGTTGGTTTTGAACTGCCGACTTGCAGTTAGCAGCCCAATTCTTTTTGTGCAGCGCCACCTGACCTCTACATAAGGAGTATAGAGGTAATATTTAGGATGGTTACAGCATGTCCATGATACCAGCAGAGACTCAGTTGTTTTTGCTCCCTAGTCTATAAATCATTGGGTATGATTTTCATTATCATACTCTTAAGATAGCTGCTTCATCTGAGCATTGAATCCATGTTCCAGAAAGGACTAAGGGAGATGTAAAAGGCATGCTGCCTGTTCAAGAAACCATTTCCACTAAGTTATGATAAAGGAAAAATTATCATTCTCTATCAAAATTTTGAATCCATTTACCCTTTGACCCAACTGTCCCATTTCAGGGACTTTTCCCCACAGATGTATTTAGCACACGTGCAGAAAGATACATATTAAAGAACATTCATTGAAGTACTTTTAATAATAGCAAACCTGTTTCCAACCTTCCATTAATAGGGGAGTCAATGAATAAATTTTTATACATCCATATAAAGGAGTATTGTATAACTACAATAAAGAACAAAGAAATTTTCTGAGTATTAATATGGGAAGGTTTTCTAAATATAGTAAACTGGAGGGGAGGAAAAAAGCAAAGTATGCTAGTTTTGTGTAAAAGAAAGTAGTGGAGAATTAGAATACATGTTTATATATGCTTGTATTTTTAAAAAAGAAATGCTAAACAAATACCCTAAGCCCAGATTGGTAAACTTTTTCTGTAACGAATTAGATAGTAAATATTTTCAGTTTTGCAGAACATTGGAACACTGTCACAGCTACTCAACTCTGATGTCACAGTGCTGGAGCAGCCATTAACAATACAGAAATTAGCAAGTAGGGCTGTGTACCAGTATTAAGCTGTATGCAGATTGTCAACCCCTTCTCTAAATTAATAAAAGCAGTTCGTTACCTTGTGGAGGCAGGAAAAGCTTATTAGGAATTTGATGAATAAGAAATGGGGTGAGATAAAGCACTTTGTATATTTTATTTGTGTTCTGAACCATGTGAATGTATTACCTATTTTAAATGCTCAGTATGCCCAAAACAGTTTCATGGAATACATTTTTAAAAGTAGAATGCAGGAGGCCAAACAAGATGGCAGATCTGGTGGAAGTGCAGTGAAGAGCTCCATCAGCAACACAGAATACCGGACCAAGCAGGCTCAGGGGATGGTGCTAGAACTCTGAACCACATATAAAGGAATATTTAGAAGCTTAGAAAGCTTACAGATAGGGGATTTTGTAGCAGAATCAAGAAATCCATTGCTTTCTAATTCAAGACGCTCAACTGCTCCGGGGCCACCATCTTGGGTGAGACCAAGCAGGGGGAGGATCAGAATAGCCTTGAACGCCTGACAGAACCACAGAGATAAAGGTGTGGACATTCTTTTTTTTTTTGGTATCTGTTCATTGGTCTCTTGTTGTCTGTGCACCTCTATTCTGGTGACTAGAGGGGGTGCCTGAGCTAGTGGACACACTACACCCACTCCCTGAGGGTTCTACTACTCACGCTCACAGAGCGCCTCAAAATTTAAAGAGATAGTTTCCGCTTAAAACCGAATGGCCACAGCCAGCCCTTAACTGTTTATAACTAGAAAAAAGGCCTGAATGGGGGTCATGGAGCAGGACAGGCAGACTATAAAAGAAATAGGCCGAAAATTAAATCCTGAGCTATGTCACAACAACTAACAGTGGCATCTTGAAATTTCTCAGGAATAAGAGTGAAAAGGGAAGCCCATCTCCTGATCACATCTACCTGGAGGCAATCAGAAAGCATAAAAAATACCAAACTACACACTCATCAACGTATTAAAGCCACAGATAACTCCTGAATATGCCAAAAAAAACCCAGAAACAGATGACCATATCAGCACATGTCCAGAAACGAGATAAAGTGACTAGTGCAAATGAGCTGGAAATAGGCCTACACTCCATACTGGAAGATGGGCAGGCTTTGGAAATGCCTGAGAAGGAATTCAGAAAAATGATTATAAAATGTATCAAAGCACTATACAATAGAGTTGAGAAAAATAAGGACGAAGTCAGGAAAGCACTGCAGGAACAATCAAATAAGAGATAGAGCATTGGAAACAATTCAAAACCTACAGAAAGAGGTCCAAACGATTAATAATAGAATATCAGAAATGGACAATACACTGAAAGGGCAAAGGAGTAGAATTGAAGAGATAGAAGCCAGAACTAGTGAGTTAGAAGATAAATCTCTCAACACTACTAAGATAGAAGAGCAAACACAAAAAAGGATAAACAAATCTGAAGAAGGCCTAAGATTCATGGTGGACAACATGAAGAGGAACAACTTAAGAATTATCGGCATTCTAGAACAGGAACAATCACACAAGCCCACAGAGGAGATAAAGAGCTTCTGGAAGAAAATTTCCCTAACATCCTGAAAAGTGAAAAGATAAGCATTCAAGAAGCTCAACGAACCCCAAGAAGGATAGACCCTAAAAGACAATCACCAAGACATATAATAATCAAGCTCTCCAAAATCAAAGATAAAGACAGCATCTTGAAAGCAGCTAGAGAAAAGAGAAATATAACATACAAAGGCAAGCAAATCAGAGTAAGCTCGATCTCTCGACAGAAACCATGCAGGCAAGAAGGCAGTGGGGAGACATAAAATCCTGAAAGCAAAAAACTGCCATCCAAGAATCCTCTACCCAGCAAAGCTGTCAATCAAATACGATGGAGTAAACAAAACATTCCAGGATAAACAGAAGCTAAGGGATTTTGCCAAAGCCAACCCTGATATGAAAAGCATCCTAAATGAAGTTCTGTGAACTGAGAACCAACAAGAACAGACAACAACTACAGAATGACACATGTGGCAGCATCACCCTGAACTCAGTCAACAAATGGAAGAGTAAAGAATAGAATAAAATTATAAGAACAGAGATTCTGGGAAATCAGTCTATGTTCAAAACAATTACAGTGTGAAAGAAGGTAAACACAGAGGAGCAGAGATCCAGGTGGTGAGAAGGTCAGGTAAATTACAGGATAAAATAGACTGTCTTAAATGGAGGGAAGAATTAATGGGTTAATAAGGTAACCACAACAATGGAATGGGGGTGGGGAGTTTAGTTCAGGTGTTGGGGAGGGCAGTACAAGAAGGGGACGGAGGAGGAAGAACAAGATAGATAGGACATGCAAACCTGCCCCTAAGTGGGACAGAGGTAAATAGTGATGCATGCTCTACCTTGGAACAACAGGGCTCTGGGATACAGGGATCTAGGTATAGCTTGAAGAGGGGAAATAATATTAAAATGCTTGACAGTCTTATGAATATTAGTTTCCCTTGCCTACTGTTGTAAAATAGACACTCAAGTGGGATAGAAAAGAATGTTGGGAAACATGATTACGGAAAACTTGTAAGCCCGTCTTCATCCTATAACTGATTGGAATACCTCAAAGGGGTTCTACAGCTTGCCCAGTGAAATAGGCCTCTTACAAAGGCTTTATAGAGTATAGGACTTTAGGTGGAATCCTGAGTCCCATCCAGAACCTTCTGAGATGGGACATTCCCACTAGAAAGGACAAGCAGACCAGCCTGGAACAGCTACAGTGACAGCAGATACATCTTCAAAGAAAGATCATCAGGAAAAACCCAAACAAAAATGTCAGCATGTCTGGCTACTACAAGAATAAGCAAGCTGTTTGCCAGGAAGACATCAAGGCTAGCAATCAAGTTCCTTAAGGACAAACTCCCCTGTAAGACTGAAACTCAAAGGGAACACACAAACAAGCTTGTAAACTTGCTGGCAACCACATTGGTCTACTGTTGAGTGAAAGAGGGGGAAAGGCAGCAGTAAATAAATGCACTGAGTTCAACCACAGTCCATTGACTCCCGTTGACCTGGAGATGAGAGAGAAGAGGAAGGGCTGGTAGGTCCAAAGTGTGGTGAGACCTGAGGACACCTGAGCCCATGGATAAGGACATAGCCACAGAGGGCTAGAGCTAAGAGTGAAGCATCCAGCTGATACGAAGTGAAGGGAGATGTATAAGAACACCCAAACTTGCAGATAGTACCCATTTGACCTGGCCTCGATGACTCAATAATCAGAACTTGACTAGAGGAAGATTACAAAAAAAAGAAATTTCGATAAAGGAAACAAGGGTAAATTGCTTTGATGAAACTGATGTGTACTCAGAGAGGTAGTTATTCTAAATACCAACAGAGAGGGAAGGAGTCCTTACATCAAGTATCAATACTATCCCCTCTGTTTACAGGTTAGATAGGGACGGGCAACTTAGACATTGGCTACCTAAAATGGGGTGATAAAGGCTCTAAGTGACTGGCTTACAAGGTTTCAAGAGGGAGTTTAAGAGTATGGGGGGAAAGAAAGAGTCCCCGCTGAATAGATTTCGTCTTGTATATATGGGTGTGGTTAAAAAAGATGGGGCTAAGATTCGTATGAATCAGTAGTGAATAATTGTTATCATGACAAATTGCGACTGTCACAATTGTAAAGGTAGAAGTTTTGTAACAAAAATAGGGGAGTGATTAATCTTAACAGTCCAGAAACAGAGGACCCTAGGGCCATCAAGGGTGAAGTGCACCTTATGCAGAGAAGCAGCGACTCCAGAGACAGAAGCAGAAACGGGGCATGGAGAAGGGGAGCGGCTTCGGACTCTAGATTCACGGGAAAAGAGGGACTAAGAGCTGGTGGCCAGGAGGCAGACTTGCAGAATGTGCCCTTTGGAGATGTAAATTATTATATTTGCCTGAGTGTTTTGTTTTTAAATCAAAAATGGATAGAGAGAAATACTGTTAACTGATCATACTTGGGAGGGGATTATAATCATTGTAATGAAACAAGGTGTATGATTTGTTCAATGTAAAACTGATGGTCTGCCCTGTAAACTTTCAGTCAATCCACAACAACAAAAAAAGTAAAATGCAACCAAGAGGGGAAGGAGCCTTCACATCAAGGATCAAGCCTGTCCCCCCAGTATACAAGGTTGATAAGGACAGGCAGCTTAGACATTGAATACTTAAAATGGGGAGCTATAAAGGTTACAAATCGGGCTGTGAACCGCAAGGTCAGCAGTTCAAAACTGCCAGCTGCTCCGTGGGAGAAAGATGAGGCTTTCTACTCCCGTAAAGATTTACAGCCTCAGAAACCCTGTACAGGGTCGCTATGGGTTGGAACCAACTCGACGGTACTTAACAACAACAACATAAAGGCACGAAGTGGCTGGCTTACAAGTTTTCAAGAGGGAGTTTAGTTCCGAGCAATGGGGGAAAGGTAGAATCCCTAGTGAATAATTTTCATCTTGTCTAGATGGGTCTGGTGAAAGGAATTAGGCATAGGATTCTTTTGATTCAGTAGTGAGTAATTGTTATTACTAATTGCATTTGTCACAACTGTAAAGGTAGAAGATGTGTAACAAAGAGGGGGGAGAAAAAAAGTAGAACGCACAAGTGGTTGGAGCCTACTAGCTATTCCTTAGGAGAAAAATGAGGCTTTCTGATCCCATAAAGACTTCTGGCTATGATTTGGAATCGACCTGATGGCACTTAACAACAACATATATAAATTATGCATACAAAAAATATATTAGAAGGAGGAGTCAGTCATCTTGAGCGGTGCGAGCCCTGTGGTCCAGCAGGGGCAGCAGGATAGTGGGAGTGTAGACTGAAAATATGCAGACTACTGGGGCACTGCTCATTGCTCCAGCTCTGGTCCGCTGTTTTACCAGGGGTCTAGTCAGGCCTGTGTCTGCCTCATTCCTGAGTACACCAGAGATCCCATCTAAACACCCTTCCTACAGCAGCTCCCTGCTCCAGGTAGCCAGGTGGGAGTTCCAGACCATTGTTGTCTCCCAGGACATTGACACATCGGCCAAGTTTATTGGTGCTGGGGCCGCCACACCCACACTTGGTATGGCTAGTTCAGGGGCCGGCATTGGGATAGTGTTTGGCAGCTTGATCATCGGCTATGCCAGGAACCCGTCTGTCAAGCAGCAGCTCTTTTCCTATGCCATTCTGGGCTTTGCCTTGTCTGAGGCCATGGGGCTTTTCTGTTTGATGCTCGCCTTCCTTATCTTCTTTGCCATGTGAGGCTCCGTAGGGGTCATCTACCTGTTCCTGCTGCTTTAACTCCAGGCCATGCCCTGTGATCGAGTGTGCTAAGCTTTACCATTAAACAATGTTTCTCTTAAAAAATGAAGGAAACGAAGAAATGAAAAGTATTGTTAAAATAGGGGTAATTTTACAATTTAAAGCTGACTTAGCCATAAATATTATAATTTATAAAAGAATTTAAATGAGATTTGATATGGCAATATGAAAGAGAAATCTAAGAAAATGGAAAGTTAACTGTCAGCCTCAGAATTTTTATTTGCTTGATTTTATAAAATGTGGTGTCACTAAACTTTGCTTTTTTACAGAATTATTAATACTTGTTTATTCTTTGGAAGGTCTTAATTACAGAGCACGGTGACCTGGGTAATTGCAGATTTTTAGATCCAAGAAATAAACTTTCCTTTAAATTTGATCATTTACGGAAAGAAGCAAGTGACCCCCAACCAGAAGAAGCAGATGGGGGCCTGAAGTCTTGGAGAGAATCCTGTGACAGTGCTCTAAAGGCCTATGTGAAAGATCATTATTCCAACGGCTTCTGTACTGTTAAGTACCTGCTTCATTATTCGAGGGTGTTTTGTTGTTATATTTACCTTCTCCTTTGGGGCCTATGGTCAGACAAACATCACTTCATTCTTTTTAGTTATGATCTCCACAATTTATTTCATAAAGCATTTTTGAAAAGGATATAAATGGAAACTTTTAATATGGAAATTGTTTAAGTGCCAATGGAAAAGAAAAACCCAATACATAAATATTTTTAAATCTCAATTTATTTTACTTTGCATTTTCAGATTGCTTTATATCCATCAAAAACAATTTTTTAGAGGTCTATAGCTAAGACATGCAGAAAGAAATGGTAAATTAAAGACTGTTGGGAGAACTCTTGGTCATATTTCAGGTTTTTTTCATATGGCCCTTTTTACAGTGCTACTTCTACATTTCACCAACTGCTCCTCAAAAACACTACAGATTCACTATCAGTCGAAACTGACTCAACAACACTTAACAACCTCTACATAGTTTATGTGTTTTTCATTGGCTGGTCCAAAGTATTTGAGCTAAATAAAAAATTAACAGCATTTTGATTTTCTTTAACCATCTCTTAGCTCTAAAAATAATATATTTGGCTCTTTCTTCTTTATAAAATTGTGGCATGTTAAGAAAAATGTTGGTTAGATTATTTTTAAATATGTAATGATGATGTATTGAGTAACAGTGTAGAGTATCAGTTCAGAAATTTACTTTGAGACCGATACTAAGTGTTTGAATCTTAGCCCTGCCACTTAACCAGTTGTGTGATCCGGAGCAAATTAACTTAACATTTCTGTGCCTCGATTCACTCATCTGTGATACGGAAATAATAATAGTTCTTAACCTCTTGTGGTTAAGTACAGAATTCCTTTGGAAAGCCAATATCACAAAGGGAGATAAGACATGCCACCTTTTAGAAATTGCCTACTCAATCCTCATTCTACTTTCAACTTATCATTTACTATCCATTTGAAATTTGTCAGTTCCTAGATTTTCTGAAATTTCTTAATATAGAGAACTCTAGCAACAAATAACCTACTGTCTCCTTTTTCTCATTGTACCCTGTCATATTTTCTCTATTGTATGTTCCAAACCGTTTTCATTGTCCTCTGACAGATATTTAATCTCCGACATTTTAGTAGAGTGTGCTAACATAGGAGCCAAAGCAAGAGGTAATTTCTAGATATAGCTTGTTTACCTCAGTGTGAAATGAAGTCAGGAATCAAGAAAATACATCAGATCAGGCAGTTCAGTAACCTCAAAGCGCAGTTTCTATAAAACTGGGGGCTGAGGCCCGAATTCAGAGGACTAAGAACTTGATACATAATGAGGAAATGGAACTAGTAGAAGTAGAATGCACCTTGTTTTGGTGGTAAAACAGAAAAAGAAGGAGGGAGGAGATGGAAAGAAGTAGAGGAGTGAAAGGAAAAGCAACAAAAGTAGCTTATAGGAAGAATTGCTAGGGGACTTTAAAAATTTATGGAAAAATTCCACTCTTTTAATTCCTTTTAATGAAGTATTTGAAGCCCTCTAGTATTGTGACTGAGGGAAAGTTTTTATCTCTTCCTTAGGAATAGGAATAAGAATATTTCTAGGTAAAGCGAACCATACTATAAAAGAAAGCACCTTTTGCAAAATGTAAAACACTATTTACTTTTTCTTGATGATTTCATTTCCATTCATCTTTCCCACATTAAGGAACAGTTGATGTTTCTAACTACTTACTAGAAACATCTCCATCTGGATTTCCTGCATTGTTTATCTTTCAAGTCATCCAAGTGTGCAGTCACTTCAGCTCCTTTTGTTTGTCCTTAACATACAATATATTGCTATACTTTGATTGTACTTCTGCATTCTGTATGTGACCCCTACTTTCCATTTCCGCTGATACTACCCTAGTCCATTGCCTAGACTAAATCTGTGACCACAAACGAATATCCAGTTTTTCCTCCCTTTTAACCTATACACCAATACATGATTATTCTCCTCAAATAATATCTCTGGCCAGGTTGTTTCATTGTGTCTCCATTGCCTGCACAATAAAATCCAAATTTCTTGTATCTATTATCTGACTTAAATATACTATCTAGTTTGTACTTCACCAGTCTAGATCACACACTCCCTCTAACCTGACAGAAGTTACTATTACTCATGAGCAAGCCTTTGGTTTCTTGCTTGTTTACTCATCTTTATTCTCATTCCCTGATTATCAGTATATCATTTGACTTGTAAGGTCTAGCCTAAACAAGAATTGTACTGTAAGTCAGGAGCAATATTTCGCTCAGTACTCATTGTACCACTGTCTCTTCTAGAATTTAACATGTTTGGCTTTGTGTTCAGATCCCATTAACTTTATTGTGTCATAAAATTATTCTGATTCTTTGTCTTACCCAAGCATTGAGTATATTTTTTTTTTTTTTTTTGGTTCCCAAGTTTTATTCAAGGACTTATACAAAATATTCCAGATAAATGAGTTTTAATCCTCATCTTCTTCATCCTGGTTAATCTGGAAGTAACGTAATTCATAATTTCCTTTGCTGTTGGCAACTACGTGCAACCAATCACGTAGATTGTTCTTCTTCAAATATTTTTTGGTGAGATATTTCAAGTACCTTTTGGAAAAAGGTACCTCAGAGGTTACAGTAATCTTACTCTTGCTTCTTTCAATGGTTACAACCCCTCTATCAAGATTACCAGTTTTCCCATTAGACTTTGATTCTTTCTTGAAGAAACTGCTCCTTCCATGTGGAAGGTCCTGGGTTTAATTCCCAGCTACTGTAGCTCATGAGCAGCTCTGTTGCTATGATGCTGACCATGTTTCAGTGGAACTTCCAGACTGACGATGAAAAAATTGGCAGCATCCATGATTCCATCTTCTACAGGGTGGGTAAAGTCAAGGGTGAACTTCAAAACCTGCTTCTTTTTTTAGCCCCCCTTCTCCACAAGCTTTTTCAAAGGTGCCATAGCAGCAGCGGAGGCAGAAGGGGCTTAGTACATTGCTTTTGCAACAGCGTTTGTGGTTAGATTAAATATGTTTTTAGAGTTTAACTCTTTTTTCTTTCTTTTACCAATAGGTTTATGCTAAAACTATAGATGGACAACAGACTGTTATTGCATGTATTGAAAGCCACCAATTTCAACCTAAAAACTTCTGGTAAGAAAGTAGAAGTTCTTTTCTATTTGTATCCAGTTTTTATTGAAAATAAATCACTAAACCAGCAGTTGAGATTTGTTTTTTAATCTCATTAGCATGGGATAAATTATTTGACTTAGAAACTTCAGTTCCCCATCTGTAAAATAAAGTATAGAACGATCATTTCTATCTTTGTATTTTTTTTTTAAGGTACTCACAGATTGATTGAGATTAAGGAATTAGTAAAGTGCTCAGTTGGAAACCTGGCTTTTACTGGAATTAGGGTTACTATTTGGGTTAATTGCTTAACAGTGACCCATCCACCTGTTTGTGGAAGATCCTCACATAAATAGAATAGAAACAGTTTTCTACTTTAAAAAAAAAAAAAAAAGAAAAAGTAAAGAATAATTTAGAAAAGGCTAATAGGCCACTTATATCAAAATTTAGATTTGAGTGAACAGATCCTTGGATTTGTCAAGCTGGAAATTACTTGTGTCTTTTTTTCCTCTTTTCTAACTCCTTTGCCTCAATAGTAAGTCACCTCTTTTTTTTATGTTGCTAATTGTGTAGTATTATGTATGTGTGTGTTCTAATAGGAACGGACGTTGGAGATCAGAGTGGAAGTTCACCATCACACCACCTATGGCCCAAGTGGTTGGAGTGCTTAAGATTCAGGTAAGATTCCAACATGTTAATAGGTCATAATTAAAGCATTTTATCTTCATACCAGATATGCAAGTGGATATTTGATCTTTTGTTAGAAATAAGGATTACCTGTCTGTAGTGGTTACGAGTCAGGCTGCTAACCTCAAGGTCAGCAGTTTGAAACTACCAGCAATTTCATAGGAGAAAGATGATACTTTCTGCTTCCATAAAGATTTACAGCCTCGGAAACCCTATGCATGGTCACTATGAGTCGAAACTGACTCCAGGACATAACCACCAACACTATATATATGGAAGGAGACCTGGAGATGCAGTGGTTTAGCATGTGACTGCTAACCAAAGACTAGCAGTTTGAACCCACAGCCACTCTGAGGGGGAATGTGGCGATCTGCTTCTGTGAATATTACAGCTTTGTAAATCCTGTGGGGCATTCTACTCTGTCCTATTGGGTCTCTATGAGTTGAATGAACTCATTGGCAATAGGTTTGGATTTTGGTTTTATATGTACATTTGTTATTGTCATTAAGTGCCATCGAGTTGGTTCCAACCCTTGGTGATCCTGTATTGGGTTTCTGAGGAGCGACTGGTGAGCTTGAACTGCCAACGTTGTGGTTCAAGCCAATTTTTCAGGTCAGTGCATTAGCCCATAATGCCACAGCAGGCATTATATGTACATTGTTGTTGTTGTTAAGTACCGTGGAGTCGGTTCCAACTCATAGTGACCCTGCATGGGGTTTCCGAGGCTGTAAATCTTTATGGGAGCAGAAAGCCTCATCTTTCTCCCATAGAATGGCTGGTAGTTTTGAACTGCCAACCTTGTGGTTAGCAGCCCAATTTGTAACCACTATGCTACCGGAAAATTGATGGCAGTGAACAGAATGAAAAGTTTCTGTCTTGAGGAGGAGTCAAGCAGAGAAAGCTGTTGATAAAACTTGCTGTTATTGTTCAGTGTCCCTGAGTCAGTTTTGACTCATCGTGACCATATATAGAATTTCCGATATATATTCCATAAACTGACAAACTTGGCTAGTCTTTTAGAGTTAAGAGCTAAGCACATACACACGGACAAATCCTAGCTGCTATCCAATACCAAATCTATCACCATAGGGTCAATTCCAGGTGGTACCAAGTAAAATAACTCCACAGGGTTTTCTTGGCTGTAATCTTTATGGAAGCAGATCATCAGGCCTTCCTTCCATAATAGGGGGTTCAAACTGCTAACCTTTCAATTAGTTGTTAAGAGCTGTCAAGTGAATGTAAACTGCTGACCTTTCAATTCAAACTGACCTTGCTGATAAATCTTGGTCACAGGGAGTATACTGCTTACTTGTTTTTTTTCTCCAGTCTAGCTCTTTGCAAGTGAAAGTAAGACAGTCTAAAATCATCCTATGTCTATTGGACAAGGATATTACAAATACAGGATGGGTCACATCAAGCACTTCTTTTGTCTTTGTCTTTTGGGTAGTCCTAATATGGCACTGTGGGATAATGCATTGGACCACAAGGTCAATTTGAACCGCAAGGTAGGCAGTTCAAATTCACCAGCCACTCCTCGGAAACCCTATACAGAGTCACTGTTAGTCGGAACCAACTCAAGGTACTTAACAACAACATGTCTGTTGGGATTTTAGCTTTTGTGTGTTGTCATTGTTTAACTTAATCTTTTTTTTTTTTTTTTTTTTGCTGAAATGTCTGCTGTTCTAAATACTACATTTAACCCTTAGACATTTCCAGATTCTCACCTTCTTCAATGTATTCTTAAATCGCCATTCCTCTTTAGCCTCTTTTAGAAAGCCAGGAGGTGAAACTTAAGAGTTTGGAGAGTGGGTAGAAAGTCCAGCTTTTCTTGCCAATCTGGAAAGAGCCAGCTATTTGTCCCCACAAAATGAAACACCTGTTTTCATCCCTTAAGCAAGGATAGGTTGTGGATTCACATGGTCTAGAGAAGTCCTTTGGTTCCTAATAGAATCTGGTTTCTGTCTAGATGAAGCTTGACTCTTAGCGGTCCTCTTCTTATGACATCCCAAAAGAGTAAGGCTGTAGAGGGATACTTTATTTTCACCTGAATTAGGGAATTTCCAACTTCATGACAGAAGATAATCTTGGGAGATATATGTATGTGTAATAAAGTTCCAGCTCTGCCGTTTGATCTGATTCAAATCCTATCTCATCCTCTTCATAGATATGTGACTATAGATAAGTTATTAAATCTTCTCAAGCCTCAGTTTCCTCATCTGTAAAATAGGGTCATGTAGTAAAACTTGTGATAGCCAGCAAGGAAGAACTGTCTTGCTTTTCCGGGTCTTGCAAGTTTTTCGCCATTGTCAGGATACAGGTACCACTTTTCTTTTGCTCATTGTAGTGGAAAAGAGCTTTCCCAGGTAGCCCCTATTTCACTGAATTTTTGTGACGAGTAAATGAGATAATGTTAAGTAATAAGTAAAGTGCTTTGCATAGTGCCTAACACATAGTAAATAGTAATAATTATAGCACTGAAGTCTCCACTTTTCTTCTAGCCTTTTCTCCTTCTTTAAAAGCATTCCTTTTTTGCCCCCAAACATTTATTGATAATATAAACAAGCATTTTTTTGTACTATTCTTGTACATTCTAGCATTCTGTCCCCAATTTCCAATTTCTGCATTTCATCTTCTTCATAGCACAAGTATAATCTTTGTAAAACATTCCTTTTACAAGTTCCCATTACATATGGTGGGTTAAATCTCAATTTTTAACATGGGTTATTAAATGCTTTGTTTTTCACAGTCTGTTTTCAACTTCATAGCATTGCCACAACTCCCCTGCACACATATCCATAAAGAGTGAGTTCTTAGTTCTTCCCTAAACAAATGGTACTCCATTCTCTCATATGTTTTTATCTCCTTGCTAGATATTCTTGATTTAAATGGTCTTAAACAAAGGATTGTTATTGTCATTCACCATCGAGTGGATTTCAACTTAATGGCAACCCCATGTATTACACAGTAGAGCTCTAGTGGGTAATTTTGGTACCACAGGTGAGTTCAAACTATAAGTGCAAACTATTTGCACCACTACCATAGCCTCATCCTAGTGTAGCTGGCCAGTTTATGGCCATGTTAAGAAGGTTACTAAATCTGTCTTTTAAGTTGCCATGACTCCCTGAGCCTTAAATACCATTGATTTATTATTCTGTTTCTGTTTCCCTTTCCTTCTTTCTAATTGTTCTCTTAATTATAGCACTCTCTTATATCTTCAGAGCTACTTTTACTTATTTTTACAATCTAATTTACCAATAAAAAGATTTCTGTATCAATTTTGTATTTAATCATCAGTAAAGCTTTCCTTTTACCTGATCACATCTTTTACCACTATCTATTATTATACATGTGGAGAGTTATGACAGGTATTAGGAGTTCCCCAACCCAAACCAATTGCCATCCTATTGATTCTGGCTCATAACAACCCAAGAGACATGACAGAACTGTCCCTAGAATTTCCAGGGCTGTAATTTTTACATCTTTCTCCCAATGATGGGTTCAAACTGCCAGCCTCTAGATTGGTGGCTGAGTGCTTAACCTTTGCACCACAAGGGATCCTTACTAGGCATTGACAACAACAAAACCAAACTCATTGCCACTGAGTCATTTCTGACTCACAGAACCTAATTGGACAAGGGCTTCTAAGACTAACTGTTTACGGAAGCAGAAAGCCTCATCTTTCTCCCTTGGAGTGGCTGGTGATAATAGTGGAACATTAAATGTCTATATTCCCAATGCCTAGTCACCAGCTGCTCCTCAGAAACCCTATAAAGGGTGACTGTGGGTTGGAACCAACTCGACAGCACTTAACAGCAACAGCTCAGTGCCTAGAATATAGTAAGCCAAAAATAAAAATAAAACCTACTGCCATTGAGTTGATTATGACTCATCACAATCCTGTATAGGGTTTCTGAGACTGTAAATCTTGTTTGTTTTATTTTTTATTGTGAATTGAATAAAGGTTTGTAGACAACATCATCAATCAGCTTTACATTCAACATATCCTACATTTGGTACATCTCCATATTTACAGTTGCCTCCATACAACAACAATTACCCTACTTCCTCCATGTGGTCCTAGTAAGAGCTTTGTCTGAACTACATACAAATTTGTTCAAATATTATCTCACACAGGTTCACTATTACGAAGATGGCAATGTTCAGTTGGTTAGTCATAAAGATGTACAGGATTCAGTACCTGTTTCGGTGAGTGTGGAATATTTAAAGTCTGTCTCACTTGTGCCTTGTTTTTCCTAGAAAAAAATATTTTTAAGCTTGAATGTTTTTTGCCAATAGAAATTCTGTTTGCTTTCAAGGTTTTGATTTGTGCAGTTTATATTAGCAGTGTTATTAGCATAAGAGTTAATATATAACCAGCATCAATGGCCTCAAGCATGACAACAATTGTTAGGTTGGCCAGGACCATGCAGTGTTTCGTTCCATTGTGCATAGGGACGCTATGAATTGGTACCGACTTGATGGCACCTAACAGCAATAACAACAACAAAAGCTCTATAAGTTCACAGCAGTGTTTGACTCAGAATAATGTTACTGACTTAAAGAATATAGACTTTTTTTTGTCACTTGTGGAATTTGCTAAAGACAGTAACTCCATTAATAAATAACAAGAGGAGGGAAATTTTGCTATACTAAATACATTTATAGCATTAGGATTGAGAAACTGAACATTTTTAGGAACATTCAGTCAAAAAGTGTTGTGTTCTATACCATGAAAGAAGGTACATAATTAGTTCTTGGATTCTTTCTTGTATAGTCTCATTACTTCCTTATACTCTTAGAAGTTATTGAGGACCCCAAAGAGCTTTTTTTATGTGTGTTTTATATAAGGGAGTTTCAAACATTTCGTGGGAAAATTGCATTATCTTTAATTCTATTTTTCCTGAACTTTTTGAAGCCCTCAGATCTACCAGTATTTATTTTCCTTAAGATATCAAAAATGAAAATGATTATAACTGTAATTTATTATAAAATAACTTCAGTAAACCCATTACTTGTTCTTGTTTTTTTTCAAGAGTAGTTGTAGCTTCAAACCAAAAATGAAAAATTAGTGATACGAATGGCAGTCTTGGGAACCCTTGGAGTCCCTGGACCACACTATGAGATCTGCTCCTCTAGCGCTCATAATTCTTTAGTACTTAGTAGTGAAGGAAGACATTCTTTCATTTCTTATTCACATCATGTAAAATATAATGTGATAGTGGCAAACAGAGGAGTACATAAGTTACTGGCATGCCAGAAGTCATCATTAATGTCATCTTAAACCAGAGATTAAGTCCCTGTCTGGTACTATAGGATAAGCATTGGATTGATGACCACAGGGTTGGCGACTCAAACCCAACAGCTGCTCCTTGGAAACCCTATACTGAGTTGCTGTGAGTTGGAACTGGTCTAGATGACGGCACTTACCAACATCAACAAATGAGGTCTTTTCAAGGCATCTTCATATTGATGTCTTTTGGACATATTGTAGTAGAGTATTGAAAGAGCATGAGGGGGTAGGTTGGTTTGTTTTTGGCAAAGACCTGGATTTAGATCCCGTCTTTATTACTCTGTTGTTTGTTGTTGTTACGTGCTGTCGAGTAGGTTCCAACTTATAGTGACCCTGTATAGGGTTTCCAGGGAGCAGCTGATAGATGTAATTCACAGTCCAGTGCTGATCCTACAGCTCTAAAGTGGTTTAAATTGGGCAGGTCACTTAAGAAGATTCTGTTAGTTTCATTTGCAAAATGAAAGTGGTAATAAAAGCAGGGTTTGTTGTGAGGACTAGAGGAAGTAGTGTGCATAGAAACATGTGTGAACTGTAAATTGTCATACAGATGGTACCTGTGGTGGGCTTGTAGTATATTCTTTGTCACTGTGTACACATTGAAAAAATAGTCTTATTTTCCTTTCCTTTCCCCTCCATTAGAATGAAGTCCAAACTGCCAAGGAGTTTATTAAAATCATAGAACATGCAGAAAATGAGTATCAGGTAAGAAGATTTAGAACTAATTTTAATAGATCTAGTACCTTATTTTGCTCCTAATATGTTTTGTTAGATCTGTGTCCTTTAACATAAATATACAAGTTGTTCATTATTACTAATTGTGGGGACTTTATAGACCTTACCATTTTACATGGCCCTGATTTTAGAAATAATTTAGGCAGGCTTTTTAACTTAAGAAATTAGAAAGAGTCACTAGAAATAAGTCCTGTCTGTCCTTCATAGATGACCCAGCCAATCCTTTGACTATAGAGCCACTGTATTATTCACAGCCACCCCAATTTCTGTACGATTATCTCTTACAGACAGCAATTAGTGAAAACTATCAAACAATGTCAGACACCACATTCAAAGCCTTGCGTCGGCAGCTTCCAGTCACTCGCACCAAAATCGACTGGAACAAGATACTCAGCTACAAGATTGGCAAAGAAATGCAGAATGCTTAAAGGCTGAATGTAAGATTCTTCAGTACATGGGGGGGCGGGGGGGAGTGATTCAACAAGTGGTCATGTGATAAAATAGGTGGTTTATAAACAAGAGTGATATTTTACTAGGGCTTTCAGAGTAAATAGGTTTTCTAGCCTCATGGAATACTGTTGAACCTATAACATTGAATTCATTTATGTTTTCTACTTTGTAATATTCTTTTGTCACTATATCTGCTTTTCTTTTTATTCCTTTATTAATTCTGCCACATTTAATATTGGGGAGAGAGAAAGAGAGATCTAGTGGTCATTTTGCTGTTTAGAACATTTTCTTAGGCGTGTATTACCTGTTACTGATATACACGGGTAATACATGTTTAGTACTTTTTAACCCCATACTTCAAAGAACTTTTGGCACTTCGGTGGTTTTACTGATAGACCCAACAGCTGAAAGGCTATGCTAAAAAAACTATAGTAAAATGGACAGCACATCCATTCTTCTTCCTCCAACTGCTTGATCATCACTTACAGCATCTCATAAACATAGACTTCAAAACTTTGGATTGGGACTTTTCTCATCCATTTTGGGGGACAAAGGAAGTTTTCTGGAAATTCCAGTATAGCCAGCTTCTCTGAGGAAGTTGTTTTTAAATCCAAAGACTTGAACCACATTCCCTACACATGAACGTGTTTGCTTTTTTTAAATTTCCATTCTCTCATTGTCTCCGTTTCCATCTAGTATCATTGTAGTTATAAAAGCATCTGCATTTTCAAAAGAGTTACTCATTTATGTTTATTTGTTTGTTTGTTTTTAATATTCAAGAACTGCTGACATACTGTGGATGTAGTAGAGTATATATAAAACTTGAAAAATGCAGATGTTGAAGGAATGAATATATTGTCTTTTAATGCTTTGTGGCAGGATTGTAGTATAAGCAAATGAATCAAACAACTTTGTAAATCACAGATAAAAACTAAAAATGAACCAAAGTGAGAAGGATAACTTCTAGGCAGTAAGTATCTTTCTATTGTAACCTGTTATTTAAGGGAATACTAGCGGTTTGTTCTAAATAGGATGTAAAACTTGTTCCAAATTTTTCTTCAGTCCTGCCTGCCAAGAACTCAAATGTAACTGTGATATAGCAACCCTTCCCAGGTATATTGGCAGGTATGTGTGTTTGATCGCCGAATACACAGGTGGCATAGCTATGATATGACAACTGGTAATGGTGGATTCATTTACATTGTTTACACTTCTATGACCAGGCCTTAAGGGGAAGGTCCGTTTTTTAAAAACCTAGTAGTGTCTTCCTACTTATCTCCAAATACATGTCAAAATGGAAGGGTGTTTGTGCTTCAGCTTTGTGTTTTGCTCAGTAATATAGTCAGGCAAGAGTGTTTCCAAGTGACCCATTGAGCTGTGTACGCATTTTTATTTCAAATAAAATATATTTGTATTATTTGTCATTCATACTATCCATCCATACCACATTATCCTCTGTATCAGGTAGACCAATACAAATATACCTGTTTTGTTCTAAAACTGTCTGAGTCTTTGCTTTTTGAACCATCTCTTCAGCCATTTTGCTCAAGGTAAGATATGGAACTGTCTTTGATCTTATTTGATGACAGTATTCAGGGCTTCTGAAATTGGTTCCTGTCTAGTCAACTATTATAGACTCAGCAAATATCCAAAGATTTGCAGAAATCTTTGTAGTTTAAGCAGTATCTCTACCCAAAGCTGCCAATGATTCAAAGGTTTTGTTTTTGGATATCCGTTTCTGTCAAAAAGAAAAATCTAATTGTCTTCTCTACTTGTCACTCAGAAAACAAGACCCAAGTATTCTTACAGTCACTTGGCAGGAAGTAGAAATGAAAGAATCCCAGCACCTTGAACTTAGGTAATACCCCACATTGGCTTAACTCAAAATGCTATTTTTCCTCCTGCCCATTATGGCTTCCCTATAAACATGGGGGAAAGGTTTTTATTTTATCTTGGTTCCCAAGGGAACCTGAGGGTGTTTGAACGCTATAAGTAACATCATGATAAACAGGGGGAAAAAAAGGAAGTTGTCAAGGATTTCATTTCACTTGGATCCACAATCAGTACCCATGGAAGCAACAGTCAAGAAATCTAAGTATTGCATTGGGCAAACCTGTTTCAAGGGACTTCTTGAAAACCTTAAAAAGTAAGATATTTCACTCTGATGACTAAGGTTCACAGCCTGACCCAGGCCATGCTATTTTCAGTCACCTCATGCATACGAAAACTGCTGGACAATGAAAAAGAAAGACCTGAGAAGAATTGGCACATCTGGATTACGGTATTTGTAAAAGAATGTTGAGTGTACCGTGGACTGCCAGAAGAACGGACAAATCTGTTTTAGAGTAAATAAAACCAGTATGTACCTTAGCAAGGATGGTGACACTTGGTCTCAAGTACTTTGAACATGTTATCAGGAGGGACCAATCCCTACAAAAGGATATAATGCTTAGTAAAGAAGCCCCTAAAGAAAACCTATTGCCACCAAGTCTTATGCAATTCATGTTGTTAAGTGCTGTGGAGTCAGTTCCTACTCATACCTTCCAAGGAATGACTTGTGGGTTTGAACGAGAGCTATTTTTCTTAGCAGTCCAGTACTTATCCTAGAACACCACACCAGGACTTGGTGTTGGGTCCCAGAGACTGTGTATCTTTATGGGAGCAGGCAGCCTCTTTCTCCCACAGAGTAACTGGTGGGTCTGAACTGCCAACCTTGCATTTAGCAGCCTATCCCACAGTGCACTAGGATTCCTTTGATAACATAGAGGGTCAGTGAAAAACAGGAAGCTAGTTCCTCAGTGAAATGGACTGAAAAGAGCTGCAACACTGGGCTTAAACATAATAAATGTGAGAGTGGGCTGTTGTTAAGTGCCATCTGAGTTGGTAGGACTCAGTAACTAACTTGGGGTTGTTGTGCCATCAAGTCAGTTCCAACCCATAGCAACCCTGTATAGAGTTTCCAAGGAGTGGCTGATGAGCTTGAACTGCCAACCTTGTGCTTCAGACCGACTTTGCAGTCCAGGGCATTAACTCACAGCGCCACTAAAACTCAACTTGGGGAGGGGGATTGGGTGGGATTATGCTGTGGAGTTGGTTCCAACTCATAGCATCTGAGACTGTAAACCTACAGGAACAGAAAGCCTCATTTTTCTTGCACATAACTGCTGGTATTTTCAAACTGCTGACTGAGATTAGTAGCCCAACTCATAACCACTACATTACCTGAGCTCCTAAAGTTGGGCTGTAGGGGTGGGTAAGACTATTTGTACATGGGGTTGCTATGAGTCAACCAACTGTTGTTGTTAAGTGTCATCAAGTTGGTTCGACTCATAGCAAACCTGTATGAGGTTTCCGAGGAACAGCTGATGAATTTGAACTGCTGACCTTACAGCTCAAACCAACCTGGTTGTTGTTAAATACTGTGGAGTTGGTTCTGACTCATAGCAACCATGTACAGGGTTTTCGAGGCTGTAAATCTTTACGGGAGCAGAAAACTCATCTTTCTCCTGCGGAACAGCTGGTAGTTTCAAACTGCCGACCTTGAGGTTAGTAGCCCGATTCATAACCGCTATACTACTGCTGACCTTCCAGCTCAAACCAACCTGGTGGTCCAGTGCATTATACCAGGACTCCTACTAGACTTCAGCTAACAATCCTCCCCCTAAGATCAATTCAAATTCTAACCTTTTTAAGGGACAGTTAGCTGTATAATCAGGAGTTCTGGTGTGCTATAGGATAAACTGGACTGCAAGGTCAATTTGAATCACTATGTGGGTGTTTCAAACTCACCAGAAACTCCTAGGAAACCCTATACAGGGTCACTATGAGTGTGAACTGATTCAATGATACTTACCAACAACAAGCTGTACTTTACTCTATTTGTAATGTAAATAAACATTCTTGCTTTTGCCTTTTATTAACTATTAACCTGTCCCAAGACTCTTCCATTGATTTAGTTAGTCCAGACTGACTGAAAATTTCATTTCATGGTCATCTAAAAACCCTCCTTGCCAAGTCCTGCAGAGCCCATTAAATTCCTTAGCCTCCCTTCACAATATTTTTCGAGTTGTATCTTATTTTATCACACACTGCAGATACTAGCCTGTGTTGTCCTAGGGCAAAGGTTTCTCAGCCAGATGAAAGGAATTCTCTTTGGGGCCTCACTCCTGTATTTAGCTTTGAAATGATGCTGCTGAAGTCTCTTTGTTTCAACCTGAGTGACTGTGTCTCTATTAGTTGCCAAATGCCAGTGCTTAGTCTCTCTTATAATCCAGAACTTTGATGCTGGACTCATCTATATTTACGAGAAACTCACACAAGACTGATAATGTGTAACTGCCTATTTGTGAGTTTACAGTTTTATAAAGAACTACCTTTTGAACCAGATACTCATGATAACTTTCTAATTAATCTTTATGTTGTTGTTAAGTGTTACCGATCCGGTTCTGACTCACAGTGACCCTGTATAGGAGCGGCTAGTAGGTTTGAACCACCAACCTTGTGGTTAGCAGTGCAGTATTGGTCCTACAGTGTTTATCCATGTAGTTACTACTTGGGGAATCAAATAAAGGAAGGTTGGTAAAACACACAACAAACTGTGTGTCTTATAGGATAAGATGAACTACAATTCTTTAAATAGACCAAATCCACTGTCATCTAGTCAATTCCAACTCATAGCCACCCTATAGGACAAAGTAGAACTGCACAGTAGAATCTCCAGGACTAACTCTGGGAGCAGACTGCTTCATCTTCCTCCTGTGGACCAGCTGTTGGGTTGGAACCACCAACCTGTGGTTAAGTAGTCCATTGCTTATCCTGTAGCAGACAGGGCATATATAAAAATACAGGGTAGATATAAGCCCTCTGCAGGCAGAAACCAATTTCCCACCTCTTCAAATCCAAGCTGTTAGGAACTGTTCGGTTAGGTATACAGACATAACTGCCATAGCCAATCTTGTGGGTATTGGTCCTTCTGTTAACATGTCCACAGGAGTTGAGATCAAGTCTCTCACCAAAGTACTTGAGACCAAAAGATTGGCTGTGGCAGTTAATCTGTAGTCACAAAATCTTAGTTTAAACGGATTGGTTGTTACAGTTACCCTAAATACAATCTAGTTGGAATAAAGATTACAGAGCATTCAAATGCTAAGGAATAATGAGAATCAAAATACTGAGCATCTAATTTTCTTCTCCTAAATAATCTTGGAAAGCTATAGGATTACTCTAATAACATCGATATCACAGTTTAAGATGGACTTCACTGCTCTTTGGACCCACACTAAAAACAGTGTTGCTACTTTTAACAATTCAGGTTCTTATAAATGATAATAGCTTTGGGGAAGACTTCAAGGAAGTGAGACCAGAGCTGATTGTTAGAAGGGAAGGGAAAACTATTTTAGACATCTAGAACAACATCCATATAAATAGACATTATAGCTGCATGTGAAATGAATGGATGTTTCTGATGGAACTGGTTTAGAAAGGTTCCATAGTAACTAAGGAGTCCTGATGTGGCACTGTGGGTTAATGCACTGTGTGCTACAAGGTCAGCTGTGAGGTGGGTGGTTCAAGCTCACCAGCTGCTCTTCAGAAACCCTACTATACATGGACACTATGGATCAGAACTGACTTGATAACACTTAACAACAGTAACTAAAAGAAGCTTTAGTAGTGAGGTGGATTATGAGCTGGGCTGCTAACTGCAAGGTCACTAGTTGGAATCTACCAGTTGCTCCTTTGGAGAAAGATAGGCTTTCTGTTCCTTTAAACATTTACAGACTTGGAATCCCTATACAGGGTCACTGAGTTGGAATTGATTCAGTGGCACACAGCCACCAATCATAGTAACTGAAGCCATATGGCATAACATTTTGACACAAGTTTAGGTGTTGCTTCTACATTCTAGTTATCTATGTATATTTTGAGAACATCTAGGTTATGTGTCCAGAAATAATGGGGTATGGAAGAATGGTAGGTTTTGAGATGGTAAGAAACAAAGCAATTTTGAGCCACTCATCTTTATTCTTCTTGGGCCTGCAGGTAAAATCTTTGGACGAAAGTCTTCTTTGGCTACTTTCCCAGTACTTTTTCATATACTTTGTGTAATCTGTTTCAACAAAATTTTCACCTGCTCTATTTCTCCCATCCTTGTGACTATGGTTCCCACTGACATTGCATTTTCTGTTGCTAACGTGTATTACTCCTGGCTTTATGTGGTTGGCCTGAGAAAAGATACAAAGGTAGCCCACCTGGAGTATGACCTGGGTTCTGGACATTCTTCACACTAGGTTAGATTGAGTGTGTGCGTGAGTGTGTGATCTCCTAAGGAGAACAATTTTTGAGAACACTGGGTTTGAGATATTTGGAATTCTGGATATTTGTTCAAGAAAAAAATGTTACATAACTTTATTATTATATTTGCCCCATTCTTGTATGTGTGTGTGTGTGCGTGCGCGCGCACCCCCGCGCTTTATTTCATTTCAGAGGAAAAATAGATGTAAAGACTTGTTTTATGTTTTATTTTTGTGTTTGCCCCACCCCTTTTAGTTTGTCTTAATAGTGTTTTCTGAAGCACTTTCCTCTTTCCTTCCCTTCCCTGGTTCGGATGGTGTTGCTATTAACTATTTATTGGCTACCTGTCCCTTTGTCTCAAGAAGCAAGTGTTTTGATGAAGGGCAGCCCATAATTCTAGAAACAATTAAAGAGCAATGTAGACTGGAGTGCAATTAAGTGGCCAAATAAGTGTCTCAAGGGTAGGGATCTCCAGCCTTTCCACATAAGGAAGCCTGTGTGGCAGAGAAAAGTAATCACTGTTCGTCCTGACAGAGGCCCTTGTCCCTCTCCCTCCCACACGGACACACCTCTATCTTAGAAACACTTGGTTCTTTCTCCTAAACTTCTTGGACTCTTAAAATAAATAATTTTATTTATTTTGTGGTTGTTTTGACTTTTGCCTTCTTCTCCGCGTCTGAAAGTCCGAGAAGGAAAAATGGGGAGGGGGTGTGTCTCCCGTTTTCGTACTGGTGTGTGTCCCTGGCAATTCGAGGAAGTTCTGGATCAGCTGTCCTAGTCCAGTCGCAGCCGATCCAGGTCCTAGTTCCTGCCCTTTGCTCTCCTGCTTTTCAAGAAGTCCTAGGGCCCTGGGGGGTGGGGGTGGGTGTAGTCCTAGTTGAGGCTCTCTGAACCTCCAGGGTTGTACTGGGGCCCCAGGCGGTAGCCACGTTCAGAATCTGGCTTGATGCCAGGGGAGGGAGCTCGGGGTAAGGGGAGGGCCCTGAGGGAGGGGTCAGACTCCTTAGGAAAGAGTTAATGGGAAGAGGGGGAGGGGATAGAAGGAAGAGACCGTAGGAAAGACTCAGGTAGGGAACGGTCGGAGAAGCGAAGCCTAGTAGGAAGAAGGGAGCCTAAGGGGTCAGGGGTCAGAGTTAGGGGCTTCTCCCTGCTGTTTCCCCATCTCAGGGCAGTTAACTTCCAGCCGCGGCAGCGACTTTCAGTTTCATTTCCACCAACCCTCCTGCTTGGGCCGCAGCCGCCGCCGCGATGCCCAGTAAGTTCAGCTGCCGGCAGCTCCGGGAGACGGGCCAGTGCTTCGAGAGTTTCCTGGTCGTTCGCGGACTGGACACGGAGACAGATCGCGAGCGGCTGCGGGCCGTTTATAACCAGGACTTCAAGATCAGGTACGTCCGGCCCACTTTCTGGTCTCGAGTCGCGGGCCCAGCTCTCTGCAGCCACGACCCCAGCTGCGGGGTGCGGAAGGATGCAGCCTCCCAGCAGCTCAAGGCCCGTCTTGGGGCGGCGCAGACCTCCCCTCCCGCGCCGTGCCCACGCCCCACCAGCACCTCCTGGAGCCCGCCCGTTCTGCCCGGGCCGGGCCACTGTGCCGAGTTCCCGCGTGGAGCTTCCTGGGAAGCCCCCTCTGAGGCGGGGGCTGGTTCCTGTGCTCGTGACCTCGCTGAGGACAGGGCCAGGGGCGCCGTGAGCTGGTGGGGGAGGGGAGCCTCCATGGGGGTTAGGGGGGAGCGGTGGTGCAGTCTTTGCACGAGCCGGGGGTGGGAGCCGCCTGCTAGTGTCCACCGGCGAGTCCTGGGTTGGGCTTTATAGGGACCCCCGCCCCCTTGTTTCAGGGCTGCTTACTTGGGGAGTGGGGGGCGGTCTACTCTACCAGGGAGCTAAATAGTGTCACTATAGGAGGGAGAATCTCAGGGATCCCTGGAAAGAAGAAAACACAAACTACACACGGTACCAAACCTCCATTTAGCACCTGTGGCTTCTCCTTGGAAACCCAGAGCAGGGACAGTCACTGGGAGGCCCCTTTTCACCCTGTGGCTGCAGGGTGTTTGGTTCGATTTCCTGTTAACCACCCAAGTGAAAAGGCGACTTCTCTCTGTCTAACCACAAAACTGTGCTTCAAAAACACCTCTTATCAACAGGCTTCAGTTTTGGGCGGAAAACCAAGAGACAATTTAACCGGGATAAATGTACAAATAAGTATAGGGTGGTGGGATTTGGGCTTAATAACAGGCCTCCTGAAAAAATCCTTGTTTTTAGCAGACCAAAAAGGCCAGTATGACTGAGATACAGTTGCTAAAAGCTAAAGAAACCTTAAACAGCGTTAGAACAAGTGAGGAGTAGTGATTCGCCATATTGACCAGAGCATACCGGGAATATTTTCAGCAATGGATGTCACATTTTAAGAAGGCCATTGACAGTCTTGAGCAACATCTGAAGGAGGGACAAAGATAATGAGGACCGGTTTTATGGCCCACACTGTACTGGGTACTACTGGGAATGTTAACATGAAAAATACAGTCCCTGGGACACATAAAGGCCTGACATGCATATAGTTAACCAGTTTACCACAAGTTGGCTAGATGATTCCAATTTAATGATAGCCCTGTATGTATGTGTCCAAGTGGAACTAAGCCCCATAGGGTTTTGGAGAATGGTTTTAGTGATGAAAACATACATATCAGAGCATCTGCCAACAAAATAATTTGCACATTTACAACTCACTGACATTAATTATGTTTTTCATATTATGGCACCATTATTGCTGTTCTCATTCCAAATATTCTACCATCATTTCCAGTAAGGTTTTCAATGGCTGATTCTTCAGAAGTAGATAAATGTCCAGACGTTTCTTCACAGGTACCTCCGAGTGGATCAACCACTACCATTTCATTTGTACCCCCACAGTTACTAATAATATAAGGTAAAGTGAAATGAGAATCCTAGTAGGGATATAAGGAAAAACACTGTTGGAGTGTAGAGAGAAAGCAATTGCATCAACACTTAGTATGAACTCACCTGTATCCATGCAAAGGAGCTCTGTAAGTAGCATAGTGGTTATGAGTCGGGCTGCTAACCTCAAGATCAGCAGTTCGAAGCTACCAGCCGTTCTGCGAGAGAAAGATGAGGCTTTCTGCTCCCATAAAGATTTACAGCCTTGAAAACCCTATTTGTTGTTGTTGGGTGCCATCGAGTCGGTACCAACCCATAGCGACCTTATGCACAGCAGAACAAAACACTGCCCGATCCTGGGCCAACCTCACTACTGTTGCCATGCTTGAGTCCA